CTACTCAAATTCTCCTTGACCAGTACTGACATTATTACAACTCAAGTTAAGAATGAACAATTACTTTGGGTGATATCTGAGTTCACATATCTTTTAAGCCTTATATTTAAAGGGACTCTCCAGTGCCAGGAAAACATAGCTGTTTTCCTGGCACTGCAGAATCCTGTGTTCCTGAAGGGGTTATTGCATGAGGACGTCCAGCGTCGTTAAAAAAACTTTTCGTGTTCTAAGAACACGGAAGTCCCTCTAGTGGCTGTCTGATAGACAACATAACCCTGCAAGGTAATTATTGCAGTTTATAAAAACCTTATTACACATGCAGGGTTAAGGGTGGTGGGAGTTGGCACCAGACCACTACAATGGGCAGAAGTGGTCTGGGTGCCTGGAGTGTCCCTTTAAGCCATCATTTAGTTTGATCACCTTTTAGGTGCTGCTTGAATACTTGTTTTCGCTCAAAGATCACAAGCGCTCTATTCCAATTTAAAGGGATACTACAGGATCAAAATACCTTAGACATTTTAGTGTATAGATCATACCCCTGCAGTCTCACTGCTCAATTCTCTGCCAATTAGGAGTTAAATGGCTTTTGTTTCTGTTTATGCAGCCCTGTTCAAGCCTCCCCTGGCTCTGACTCATACAGCCTTCAAGGGAAAAAATGGTTGCATTTTCAATAAGCTGTTAACTTGCTTTAGAACTGCTTACCTCCCGTTCTGTCAATTGAACTTTAATCACACATGGGAGATTTCTGTAGGCTCTATAATATTATATGGAAACCCTCCCACCTCCTGGACAGCTCACTAAGAATGCAGCTTCACAATGAATGTAAAATGGATGCTGTCCAGGAGGTGGGAGGGTCTGGGAGGGAGGGAGGGTCTGCTGCTGATTGGCTGGAATGTGTCTGCTGACTGTGAGGTACAGGGTCAAAGTTTACTCAATGATGACATAGGGGGCGGACCGAACAGCGCATATGTTCGCCATCTGTGGCGAACCGTTCGGCGAACCGTTCGGGACATCACTATTTAGAAACTATTTAGCATAGGTGTTTTTGGCAGTTGTAGATGCATAACAGATTTTGGGGGTCAAAGTTAGAAATGGTGTGTTTTTTTTTACATTTTTTCATCATATTTTATTATATTTTTTATAGTAAATTATATGATATGATGAAAATAATAGTATCTTTAGGAAGACCATTTAATGGCGAGAAAACCAGTATATAATATGTTTGTGTACAGTAAATGAGTAAGAGGAAAATTACAGCTGAACACAAACACCGCAGAAATGTAAAAACACCCCTGGACCCAAAAGGTAAGAAAATTGGAAAGCGGTCTGGTGACTAAGGGGTTAATAGAACTCAATACGTTTGTTACCACAAGCATTATGCTCTTCTTTTTAACAGAAGCAGTAAAGCTTCCTCTTATATCAATGCAAAATAGTAATTAAATTCTGCAATTTCTTTTACTCATCAATCAGCAACTTTAGTATCACAGAGTAAGATCAGTACTTTGACTTCTTGTGACTCAGATGGATAATTTGTACTTTGAATAAAATTGGCATCAGAGCATACCATGTTAAACTGTGAATGATTATATTCAATTTACCCTTTAATTTCTAAAGCACACATTACTTTCAATACAATGCTTTCCACATTTTACCGCAGTTTGATATTTTTTCCCCATAAATCTATTAAATTTATCTGTATAGTATACTATCATATCTAGTAATGGACGTTTCTCAGTTCTAAAAAGAATGTCAATGTTATATAAAATGGATATCAAATCTTTGTACCAGAGGAATGCATGCCGTCGATTTTGGAATGGGTTGCAATTATTTCTGTCAGTTAAAAGGTTCATTAATGGTTGTTTAATCCAGGTCCACAGAATCCATCTTTCAATGGTTTTGTTATTAATTTACATGACTTTTTCAACTTTGGTAATGACTACTGTAATTTTGGAGATAGCTATCTGTATATTATGTCTTACATATTTAAAATACCTTGGTTTTGGCATTTATCTGCATTTTCTTTATTTTAGATTATTCGTAGCTGAATATGAAAGTTTGGTTTTATTAATTTATGGTCCCAATTTAATTTTTGGGGAAAAACTTCATATGATTTAATATTCTGGGATAAACTTTTCAAATGACTTAATATTTTGGGGTAAACATTTCAAATGATTTAAGATTTAGAAAATTATTTTAATATTGTAACAATGTGATATTTCTTTATATATTTAATTTTTTAAATGATTTTTTTTATATTTTAATATAGTTAAAAAATATTTTTAAAGTTTATCCAAAAATCTAAAATAATTTGAAAACCTCCTCTAAACATACTAAATCTGGGCATTTTGCAAATCTGTTTTGAACTCACTACAATTGTATGTTTAATGAATGCCTCCCACGTTGCTCCTGATGGCCAGAAAACAGACGCACCACCCTCCACCACCACCAAATCAGACGCATGGTACCACAGACTGGATAGCTAGGTTGCCGGGCAGCCTACTTTGCCCTTTCCATACCCAGGAGGTAATCAGGAGGGGGCAAACCTGAAATACATTTTAAGAAAAAGTCATTATAGTTAGGAGGCTGTGTACAGAAACACAACCTCCCTACACACTGTCACCACCTCACTCTCAGCTGCCATACATAGTCACCCCCATTTACCATCTCACTTTACCTGCCACAGTTACCCACCTACCTTGTCACACTCACCCACCCTAACTCTCCTCCAACCTTGTCCTACTCACCCTTTAACACCATGCCATACTCTCCCTGTCACACACTAAACTTGTTACAAGTTCCCTCAATCCTGTGACCCCCCTCACCCTGCCACACTTACCCCTTCACTCCCTTGTCACACCATAATTGGAATTAAGTTGTTATGGTGCCAGGAAGTCTCTGGTGACAGCTTACCTTTACGGGTTAAACAGTTCATGAACAGTTTAACCCCAAAGTCTGTTCCCCATCGCCATTTAGCTCTGCCCCTTTCCTCCTAGTGTCCTCATATTCTTCAAACAGGTAGCCTTGGACTGCTGTGAACAGACAAACTTTGTTAGCTGAGCGCGTCAGCTGATGTTCTAAGACAATCAGTAGTTTCCCATGCACAAATCTGACTTGAGATAAATACATACATTTTTTTAGCCATTTTGTGAATGGTCTACTGGTTGACTTAGAGTATCAGCTGACGCTCTCAGTCAATCAGTGGCACTCCCGTCTGTGGGCATTCAACAGTTTGTGGCTGTTTGAACAATCTGAGAGCGGCTAAAGGACAAGGGCAGAATTAAACAGCGCTGGAGAGAAGACGTTAGGGTTAAACCTGTTTGTGAATTTGGGACCTCTTCTTAAATCTGTTTGTGATTGTAAGGTTTGTTCTATAGTATGGAGATAGGATTCTTCCAGCTTTTACCTTTTTTTCTGACAACTAAATGCACTCAGACCACTTTAATTAACTGAAGTTGCCTGGATGCAGTGGCCCTGTAGTTTTAAACCTGCAATGTAAAACATTGTTGTTTTGTAGCGACCGCAATGCTTACATTTTAGGGTTAAACTCACCTCTGGTGGTTGTCTTTCAAACAGCCACTATGGGCGTGTCCTGTGCAGTGTGCAACATCCAATACTTTCATGTGATGTTTGATGTCCTTGAGTATGTCAAATGTCATCAAATATAGCTCAGAAAAAAAGCATTGAGTTCAATTCTTTTCTATGAGAAGCATCTGATAGGACGCCCATGTCCACTATGAGGAGCACTGGATTGGACGATAACAGAGGAATCAACACCACCACAATGACGTTGATGACGCTTACTTACTGTGGGGTCCTCAATAAATTTTGAGTGCTTTTTCACCAACTGATGTTTGCTTGATATATTTGCTTTTGGATACTTGCAGAAAAGGGGTTAAACTTTGCACATATAGACTTCAAGCACCATTTCAAGTCAGTAAAGTTGTCCTGGTGCATTGAGTAACCCTTTAAATAATGCCAGCCTTCCAGATAGACCTAAGCATTATCGCATTTTACCAATGTAGTTAATATTTCCATTTTATGCGGAGGTGTTTGAAATATGAAATTCCTGCAGCTCCTGCTCGTTTTTAGCAATTAATATGCATGGTGGCAGATTAGAGGGGAAAAAAACAATATGTATTACGGCATGAATATTTTATTTTATTTTATATATTTATAAAGACGAGCCATGTTCACTGAGGTTTTGTGGATTATTTGTAACGTAAAGAGCAATGCAATTAGCATTTATAATAGCTGCAAATTTGAAATAGACAATCGATTCTTAAATATTTACCAACCAGTCAACATGTACTGGTAGAGGTATGGAGCTTTGCTTGTGCTTCTTCGGTCATTTAATATTCTCAATGGCATGATCCAATATAACTAGACCTGTCTAACCATTTGCCATGAAAGTGTTAATCAATGAACAGTAATTTGTTATTGGCGATGGTGGGGGAAAGCATGATTTTTTATACTGTCGTAGAAATCAAGCTGTGTTTATCCCTGTTGATAATTACCTCTGGAAGTTTTAACTAAATGAATAACAGCAATACATAATTAATAAAAACGAAAAAGAATATAATATCCATAACGTTGGTACTGCTTCTTACTACTGCCACTGGAGGTCAGTAAATGACTGGATAATTTAAATGACCTACTCCCATAGGATTCACTTTACACATTGCTGCCTTTAAATGTAATTTAAAATGTTTCCATCATGCGCAATAAAAGTACAAGCTGAGAGTGAACGGGTTAAATCATATACAAAGTATGGATATATGCATGAAATTAAACCACCATTAAATCCCATGGTACAAAGCTGCAGAATTTGTTGGCACTTTATAAATAATAATAAAAATTAGAAAAATAATGACACAGTTCATATTTACTCATTAAAACTATTGCCACTAACTGAAACGTGGTTCTCCTCCTCTGACACTGCTACCTCTACATCCCTATCCTATGGTGGATTGCAATTATCAGGCTCTCCCAGGCCATACGATGCTAAAGGTATGGTATAGATATGGTTTTTGCTCTCACTTTATTGTTTATGTCGTAACTCGATGATCTCAGCCAATCCAATGCTTTCCCATCTATTGGGCACCTGCAGCAAAATGCAGTGCTGTGCCAGCAGCTCCACATAGAGATGCATTGAATCATGCATTGAAGCTGTGCAGCATTGACCCAGGAATCACCTCTGCTTGCCATCTGAGTGACTGCAACTAGAGGTGTTCTTAGGCAGTATTTAAAATACTGCCTTTTCTCTGAAAAGGCAGTATTTACATTAAAAAGCATGCAGAGACATTCTACACACACCAGAACAATTATATTAAGCGGTAGTTGTGCTGGTGACTATAGTGTCCCTTTAATCTCTGTTAAATCTTAAAGGGATACCATAGGCAATTAGGCATCAAAACAACGTTAGCTTAATGAGGTTTTTGTGTATAGATCATGTCCATGCAGCCTCGCTGCTCAATACTCTGCCATTTAGGAGTTAAAGTACTTTTATTACTGTTTAGGCAGCCGTAGCCACATCTCCCTTGTCTGTGACTCACAGAACTTGAAGTTTTTATCTCCTGCTCTGTAAATTAAAACTTTAATCACACACAAGTGGCTCATGTAGGCAATAGTGGAACCTGAAATATCTATGATCCTTTTCAGGAGGTGTTTAGGAAGGCTGTGTAAGTCACATGAAAGGAGGTGTGACTAGGGCTGCATAAACAAAGTTATTTAACTCCTAAATGGCAGAGAACTGAGCAGTGAGACTTCAGAAACATGATCTATACAAATTATAGTATTCATGTCTTATGCATGATCTATACACCAGAGCTGCTGTATTAATCTAAAGTTGTTTTGGTGCCTATAGTGTCCCTTTAAAGGGACACTCCAGTGCCAGGAAAACAATCCGTTTTCCTGGCACTGCAGGTCCCCTCTCCCTCCCACCTCCCATCCCCGGTTGCTGAAGGGGTCAAAACCCCTTCAGTGACTTACCAGAGGCAGCGACGATGTCCCTCGCCGCTGCTTCTTGGTCCGCCCACGCTCCTCCCCGTCCCCACGTCACCCGGTGGGGGAGACAGATCCAGCCTGCCGGTGGGGGAGACCTAATGTGCATGCGCGGCAATGCTGCGCACGCGCATTAGACCTCTCCATAGGAAAGCATTGAAAATGCTTTCAATGCTTTCCTATGGGGATTTTAGCCACGCTGGAGGTCCTCACACAGCGTGAGGATGTCCAGTGATGCTATAGCACAGAAAACCTGTGCTATGAATCAGGAAGTGCCCTCTAGTGGCTGTCTAGTAGAGGAGTAGTTACCCTGCAAGGTAATTATTGCAGTTTATAAAAACTGCAATAATTACACTTGCAGGGTTAAGGGTAGTGGGAGCTGGCACCCAGACCACTCCAATGGGCAGAAGTGGTCTGGGTGCCTGGAGTGTCCCTTTAAGGACCTTATTTACTCTTAATTTTTTCCTACTTTACTGCTGCCTTTGATACTGTTGACCAGCCTTATCTTCAAACTCTCCACAGCATTGGATTCCTTGACACTGTACTTGACTGCTGACCCAGACATTCCCCCGTTGCCCCAATAATGACAAGACAGTTGGGTACTGTCAACTGCTGGGGTGAATTCCCAACAGACAGATCATCCATAGGCTTCCCAGAGTCCTAGACAGCCTGCCTTTCACCATCAGTGCTAGCAGGCTGTGACTCCCCAAGCACTTCTATCACTTATGCTGGCCAGGAGAACTGCATGCTGTGACAAAAAGAACAGAAACAACACCAAACACCACAACAAAACCAAGGGAGGGCAGGGAAACTTCCTTAAGCTTCTACTTTTAAGTGGTAAGTACCCTCCCATCTGAGCCCCTTTTAGCATGCATCCCCTTACTTGTCAGTCCAAGGGAATCCTTTCCTGGTTTCCATCCTATATTTTTGAACCCTAATTTAGTGTCTCCTTCTCCAGAGCCACCTTCTCCCCACTGACTGTCTCAGTAGATGTTCCCCAAGGCTCTCTTTTGGTCCTCTTATTCTCCATTCACACTACCTCTCTCTGTATCCTTATTAAGTCTTTTAGATTTAAATACTATCTATATGCTGAGATTTACCTCTTCTCCTTTCACCTCTCTCCTGCCCTCCTGGAATGTTTGGTCTAATAAATTCCACAGAACCGAGAATTACAGGAGCGCTTTGAGGGCATGTATAGATCACGTATGATTGTAATGAATTTTTAATTTAAATATATGACAAATTCTTCAGCCATGTACAATAGATAAATACAATATAAACAGAATTGTTTACAAATTACACGTTTTGGGAATTTTACTGCCACAACTTTATGGTTTAGAAACAAAGTAAAGAAACAAATGTTTTGTTCCGGTGATGCTTGTTTTATTTACAGAAAATCGACACAGGTTGCCTCTTAAAAGGTTGATGCGGAGAGTGTTTATGAGATTTCACTAGAACGTATATTAAAAAATGATGATCATTAACAGTGTGATGAAGAGCGGTATAGTGGGTAGTGATTGTTTTCTGACATTTCTAATGTATTTCACATTCCAGGTGCAAAATAGAAGCAATAAGATTGTATTTCAAATCTCTATTTCCAAGTACGCAGTTGAGTGAGATTTTTTCCTCCTATTTCAGGTGGACCAGGTCAGTCTAAATCCAGAAGGTAACGATGCATACTCTGAATGGAACTTAATAAACATTTCGTGAGAAGTTGAGTTGATTGGAGCAATATTCATTCCCTTAAAAAAAAAAAAAAAAAAGGACAAATTGCTAAATGTTCAGGGATAAAAGAGGGGCAACTTTGTATCTGGCCTTAAAACCCTTCGTTACTACCCAGCTCTACCAATTCTCCAGTATGGCAAATATACCATCCATAACTGATCTGAGATAAGGCAGTTTATTAGCTACACAGTGCTTATGTAGTTTATTCATAAAGTATTTATAGAGTCAGATCTTCAAATGTATGTTTCTTTTTTTATAAAATAGGAGACAACATCATTAATAATAAGCATCAATATTTTTTCACAGCAGGTTGAGTTTTTTTTAACCCTTTTATTTTCTAATTTTAAATAACATCCTACCTGCACCTTTCAGAAATACATTGTGTCTGGAAGGAAGCCAATACTATTACAGATACTGAGACAATAAAAAATAATTATAGGTTGTAAAGTACATTACGTCTAGTTGTTTTAGGATACAGTGTCTTGCATAAGTGTTTCCACTAGTATTGGTGTTACAACATGGATTTAAAATTATATTTTGTTTTTTTGTAAGGCCACTAGATGGCGCTCATGTTTAAGAAAATAAAGTGCTTGAGGAAAAGTGTTTAAGGAACACTATAGGTACCAAATATAATTTAGTTTAATAAAGCAGTTTTGATGTACAGATCATGCCCCTGCAGTCTCACTGCTCAACTCTCTGCCATTAATGAGTTAAATTACTTTCTTTCTACAGTCCAAATCACAACTACCTGCACGTGACTTACTCAGCCTTCCTAAACACTTCCTGTAAATAGAGATTTAATGTTTAAACTTTGTTTATTGCACATTTTGTTTAATTTATAATGTTTTAGCTCCTTCTCTGTTAATAGCCTTCTTGGCACTGCAGGAGTCTCCTGTGTGTGATTTAAGTTCGATTAACAGAGCAGGAGATTCTAAAGCAAGTTAACATCTGATTGAAATGCAGACTGTGTCAGTCACAGCCAGGGGAGGTGTGTCTAGGGCTCCATAAACAAAAACAAAAGTCATTTAATTCCTAAATTGCAGAGAAATGAGTAGTGAGACTGCAGGGGCATGATCTATATACTGAAACTGCTGTATTAACCTAAAGTTGCGTTGATGCTTATATTATCCCTTTAAATTAAAGTTATTGTGGTGCCTGTAGTGTCCTTTTGAGTAAATGTGTACAGTGTAATATTTATATGGTAAACACTTACCATTCCACAAAATGGTCCACTCAGTGGGAAAGAGGCATCTGGCCCCTTGTAAACTTTTATATAATTTTCTTCACAGTCTTCTGGGCCATCAATGCTGAATGAAGCAAAGTTTAAACTAATGTATTTTCCAAGTGGAGCAAGTATGTACCATTCACAGTCTGTGCTGTTACTGTAGGTACCAGGGTAACCGGGACTAGTAAATGAGCCATGGTCTCCAAAAAGTGTTCCTCCGCACTCTGGGAAAAATAAAGCAATTATAAAAACAATATACATTTTCACGAATAAAGTGTTGAAAAATGTTAGTGATGAAAGAAAAACATTGCTCTGTATAAATACATTGTAAAAGATTACTTTTTTAAATAAACTTCTAACTTCACACAGCACTCATTGCAATGCATTTGTCTGTACAGGGAGTGCAGAATTATTAGGCAAATGAGTATTTTGACCACATCATCCTCTTTATGCATGTTGTCTTACTCCAAGCTGTATAGGCTCGAAAGCCTACTACCAATTAAGCATATTAGGTGATGTGCATCTCTGTAATGAGAAGGGGTGTGGTCTAATGACATCAACACCCTATATCAGGTGTGCATAATTATTAGGCAACTTCCTTTCCTTTGGCAAAATGGGTCAAAAGAAGGACTTGACAGGCTCAGAAAAGTCAAAAATAGTGAGATATCTTGCAGAGGGATGCAGCACTCTTAAAATTGCAAAGCTTCTGAAGCGTGATCATTGAACAATCAAGCGTTTCATTCAAAATAGTCAACAGGGTCGCAAGAAGCGTGTGGAAAAACCAAGGCGCAAAATAACTGCCCATGAACTGAGAAAAGTCAAGCGTGCAGCTGCCACGATGCCACTTGCCACCAGTTTGGCCATATTTCAGAGCTGCAACATCACTGGAGTGCCCAAAAGCACAAGGTGTGCAATACTCAGAGACATGGCCAAGGTAAGAAAGGCTGAAAGACGACCACCACTGAACAAGACACACAAGCTGAAACGTCAAGACTGGGCCAAGAAATATCTCAAGACTGATTTTTCTAAGGTTTTATGGACTGATGAAATGAGAGTGAGTCTTGATGGGCCAGATGGATGGGCCCGTGGCTGGATTGGTAAAGGGCAGAGAGCTCCAGTCCGACTCAGACGCCAGCAAGGTGGAGGTGGAGTACTGGTTTGGGCTGGTATCATCAAAGATGAGCTTGTGGGGCCTTTTCGGGTTGAGGATGGAGTCAAGCTCAACTCCCAGTCCTACTGCCAGTTCCTGGAAGACACCTT